AAAGAAAAGAAAAGAAAATGAAACACTCAGTAAGGAGGAAGATTGTCACTCTCCAACTTCTAAACCTCCCAAACCTGATCAGCCCCTAAAGGTAATGCCAGCCCCTCCGCCAAAGGAGAATGCTTGGGTGAAGCGAAGTTCTAACACTCCTGCTCGATCTCAGAGCTCAGACACAGGGCAGCAATCCCCTACAAGTGGTGGGGGCAAAGTAGCTCCAGCTCAACCATCTGAGGAAGGACCAGCCAGGGAAGATGAAAATAAAATAGATGGGATGAACGTCCCAAAAGGCAAACTGGGAACTCTAGCCGTGGTCCAGGAGACGGAGTGAACAAAGACCACTGGAAGGAGTCAGATCGGAAAGATGGCAAAAAGGATCAAGACTCCAGATCTGCACCTGAGCCAAAGAAACCTGAGGAAAATCCAGCTACCATGTTCAGTTCTGCGAGCAAGTATGCTGCTCTCTCTGTTGATGATGAAGATGAAAACCAGGGAGAAGATTATGCTGAATAGACCTCAACATCCTGTGCTTTCTCCTAATTTCTCTCCACCCTGGAACATTCGAGAGCAAATCAAACCTCTATCCAGGCAAGACAAAACAAAACTCACCATCTCCTGGAGACCTTTCTTACCTTTTTTTTTAATGGAATTCTTTTGCATGCTGCTGCAGCCTTTAAAGTATTGAGGTAACAGGAGAACCGCCAATATAGCCAGAGAGAAAGAGACTACAGCTTTTTGTGGAAAAGTTGTGGCGCATTGTGTCACCGTGCACTTGCCAGTGTGATTAGTGTCTAGGGGCCTCCATTGAGCAGAAATGGTAATGACAGTGATAAAACGTCTGGAATGTGGTTGGGCAGTAGGGGAGGGAGGTATAAGGAAAAGTGTGAGACTTCTACCTTTCAGTTTTTATCCTGTTGTGGCATATATGAATTCTCAAACATTATCTGAATAAATTTTCCACTCTAGGAAAGGTAGATTTAGCCTCAAGTTGTTTTAGCTTCCAGGAGGCTGCCGGCCCCTCCTCATATTTAATTCTGAGTTTTGGGGGCCAGCCTAAGGGAAATTCCTTCATTTTTTTTAATCCCCCAAGGGGGTAGTTGGGAGTGAGTCTATAGATCATAAAGAATAAGACTATTGGACCAAAATAGATGGGAAAATCGTGGTTTGAAAAGCTGCTTTTGGGAGGAGATGAGTCATTTTGCACCAGGTAATAGAGAAAAATTGTGTGACCTCCAACAAACATGAATGGTTATTTCCTGGAGCTGGAAACACTTGGGGGTCGTAATTCCCAGTGTTTTTTGTGCCCTGGTTTTACCCTTTCTAAGCACTGTCCTTTTTGAAAGTTTGAATATATCCACATTCTGTTGAAACCTTGACAAGATGTCACAAAATTCTTCATGCTACTCTCAGCCTCCCAAAATGCTGTCTCTAAGTCGCAGATGACCTCTTGGGCATTTTCTCTCAGCCACGGACAGCCGTGAAAGGGAGAATCACTGCTTTTCTCAAGCAAATCTTGATGTCTTTTGGTTCTCACTCCTTGTCTGCTCCTGATGCTTTCACCCCTTTTATAGATCAGAGTGCTCTAGAATAATGGATGCTCTTGGGTGGTAAATAAAGGTGGATAAATAGGAACAGGGACAGTTAAATTGGGAGCATTTCTTACAACCTTGAGTCCCCCGTACCCGCACCCCCCCCAGCCAGGTTTCCTTCTCCACTGAAATGCCACAGCAGTGCTTGTTGGATTTATGAGGTGGCCAGACCAATGTGTGTTTTCTTTTTCTTTTTCTTTCTTTCTTTTTTTTTTTTTAAAGCTTCCCCTGAGAGAATAAATGGTAATGGAGAGAATTATTTAACAAGTTCCTGGTTTGTCTTGCAACACAGTAGCTAAACTTCCTGCTTTTATGTGCAGTTTTGTAGGGATCAGCTTGGTAGACAGTATTAGCGGATAAATGACACCTGGATCTTGGTTTGCAAGCCCTTCTCCCATCAGCCATAGATTAGGTCCTGTTCAGCTATGCGGGGGTGTTGGTTTATGCTTGCTGCAGCAGTGGGCATAATGAATATAATTTACCCAGTGGACAAAGATGTGTACCAAGTGAATTTAAATAATTGGTGTGGATTGGCCAGTAGCTAAGAAGTGGGCTTTAAAAGAGATACTAAAGATTGAAAGGTTTTTTTTTTTTTCTTTAAAGAAAAACCATTGATTGTAGATAATGAAAAGCTAGGGTTTGCCCTCTTCATGCCTACTCTCCTTCCAAATAGTTGTATCCAAAATGCTTTTTCCCTCTCCCCTACCTTGCCCCATTAAAATATAAACGGGGATTGCTTAATGTCCCTTTCCTGAATACATGTAAAATTTGTACAAAAGTATCTTCTATGAAAGTGATTTGTAATCTGTAGACTTATTACCTGGGAGATGTCTTGACATGTAAAATCCCATCCTTTGGGTTGTGGGTTTTTTGTTTTCTCCAAATAAATCTGATCTTTAAAGTAAAAAAAAAAAAAAAAAAAATTATATTCCTTTAGGGCTTAAAATATAGTAGGAGTGGGTAAATGATAATTAAATGAATATCTACACTTGTCAGATGTTATTCAATTCTATGAAAAAGAGAGATGAAACAGGAGAGAAGGACAGTCTGTCTGCGGAGAATGTTACTTTAAATGGGTGGTTGGAGAAGGTTCCCCAAAGTAGAGGTGTTTACAGCAAAGGCTGACGGTTTCAAGAGAAAGAACCAAGCTAACTTCTGGGGGGAAGAGCATAATGATATGGGCCAAAGGGTATAAATAAATCAGTCTTGGTGGCCTTCCACCAGAGACCAAGAAGGGTGGGAGGAATGTGATTCTTACCAGGAATGCACACAACTGCTCCCTCTCATAAAGTTGTAACAGGAACTTGACTTTCTTGCCACAGTGGCCCATCTGAACAGCTCAATAGGCATGACTGCTCTCCTGTGGCCTCACAGAGGCTTCCTAATCCAGGATGTCTTCACCACCTCCAGTCTTTCTTAACTCTCTCTTCGTTTACCGCCTGTACATCATCAAGGATAGTGAAAGGGATAGAGTGAAAATTAAATACCTCAGTCAGAGACTGCTATTATGGAGGAAGTTGATATAACATCCTAAAGATATTTAAAAAAGCGATCTGAATGATGCAGCCAAAATAGCTCAGTTGGTCATTACAGAGTTTCTTAAAAATAATAAAGAATATCCTGCAAGTGACAGCATTTATTTGTTCACTCATTTTTTTCTTTCAAATATATTTGATGGCTCCCTCCTGCAAGTCAAGCAGTTTTTCAGGCATTAGGAAGAAAATGGTGAGCACATAATTACATGCTTCTTGTTTTCATGGAGTTTAATGTCATATGAGTGAAACAAACATAAAATGAAGAAACACACTGAGATTTTGATGTGGAAGAAAGGCAGTATGTTCCTTTGAAAACAAATAACCAAAGACTCTGATCTAGTTCATGGAGTCTAGGAAACATTTTGCCACAAAATAATTACTCAGTCAAGAGCCAAAAAATTCTAAGAGTTAATTAGACTGAGATTGGAATTATAGAAGAAAACCAAAGTGAGATAAAAGCAGTAAGAACATAGGGGCATTTGAACCCCAGAGGAGAGAGTAAAGACAAATAGAATATTGGCATGTCATAGGAGGGTACAGAGAGGTATTGGCTTGAGAGTAATGCTTATAATAGCTAAATTTTATTGGTTTATTAAGCACTCATTGTCAGATATTGTGCTAAATGCTTTTACATTTTATTTTAATTTAATAATGACAAAATCTATGAGGAAGTATAATTACTTTTTCCATTTTGAGTATAGTGCAACTATATCTGTGAAAAGTTCAGAAATGTGCTTATAGTCTCGACTACTAAATGGCAATGCCCAAATTAGAAACTGTAAAGCGTGTCTCTAGAATCAGTAGTCCAGGGTAGACAAGGAGCACTGGGACGTCAGAGAAGCATGGGCTCATTCCATTGTGGAGTTCCAACAACTGGCTACTGCTTGAATAAAATTTCCTGTATTTGTGTTTGAGAGGAACTTTCCCACCTGAAACTGTGTACTACCTCCTGTGAAAGGTGAAACTATAAGTATGAAATATAAGGAATTGATGACATATTAGTTGAGTGTATACTCTCATTCTCCATCTTCTTATCAAAGACAGAATCCTGGTGATCAGCAAAAAAAGACATACAGCATTTCAATCCATGCTATAATGTTTCTTTGACAACTCTGGATTCTGTGGATTTCAAGGATACCAACAGAGACATTGCTGGCATCTTTGTCTCTAGCCTTTTTCCCCATGACAATTCACTTCCTTCCCTCAAACCGCCAATTCCTCTCAGCTGACAGAGTAACTCAGGAAGGCCTCTGAGGGGCTATGAGAGGACAAAGGAGTGGATGCAGCTGGTGGCTTCAGATGTCACCCCTTCATATGATTGTCTGCTGTGAGACCTGCAGCTGGATAACACAGCCCAGCTTTCATGAACTTACTTTGTGAGAAATCGATCTGGAGACACCCTCAATGTGTCCTGAAGAGAATAGATATAAAGCATGTGTTATGTGTCCCAACACAGCAAAGAAATTCAGTGCACCAGGTTCTCCAGATAAGTGACACAATTCACTGCAGGGGTGGTTGCTAAACTGTTCTGCCTCTCTCCGAGAAATTCACAACAGAATGAGGAGAAAGGAAGCCTTATGTGTGGCTTCTAAAATCTCCAGGGGTGATTTGACTGTCTACATTGACAATTGCTATGACTGGCCCAGGTCTCAGTTCTTATAAACTTCTACTGTGTAGGAGATCCTGACGCCCTAGTAATGAGGTACTAACCAGGGAGAAGTACCCGAGGACTCTGAGGTGAGCTGTCGGTGTTCACGGTTCTCCTCACTGTGTATGGTTCTTTCTTTTCATGGAGGCTCCACTTCCCCAGATACTACCAGGCATTTTTCTTATTGATCACACCTTTTTTCACGATGCAGTTTCTTTACTGAAGCAATAGTTCACATTAAACACTTACACTTTTATATCAGCATTTCATTTAAAAATAATTATGCAAGGAAATGATCAATGTTATAAACCTCAGTCATTTTGCAGTGAGTAAGAAAACATGTTTGACTTTTAAAGATTAGAGAAAATAATTTGAGTGATTAAAATCATTTTCCAATATTATATTGGTGAAAATATTTAATTATGTGCTTTCTCAGCTTGGATAAATAAATGAAGTTGGGTAAAATGCAAATCAAAGAGTGAAAATAAATAATTACTGTGCAGCATTTTTTTGTTTGGGAATGGGGCAAACTTTCTCTGTTCAATTGCTAGAGGAAAAGAAAGAATTGTTGCTATGAAGTTTACATGATTTCAAATTCTACATCAGCCAGGATTATTTCAAGTTTAGCAGAATACAATTTTGCACTGAGTACTCAAAACCTATTAATAGGTGCTTGTTGCTACCTGAGATTCATTACAAGTAAGTTTCACTGCATGGAGAGCACATGCTTTGGAAAAGACAAAGCCTGCTTGACTGACAAATTACATTATTGAGCATTCTAAAACAAAAACAGAAAAGTAAAAAGCAAAAAACAAAACAAAACAAATAATTGCAATGCGTACCTCTGAGGACCAGTGTCACAAGATTTGACATATAGAAGTAGGGTTTTTTTTTGTTGTTGTTGTTATTTATTTTTTAATTTTACTCATGATATTTTTTAAAAATAATTTTACTTATGAGCCCAGTCTCAGTTAAAAGTGAATCCAGTTTTGTATGTGTGTTATGTGGTTAGTAAAGTTAAAATAAATGACACGTTTTAACACTTCCTTATATAAACAGACAGAAAGCTAGAAAAACTTTCTCTAACTAGTGTGATGATGAACTGTAAATTTCCAGTGGACATTGAGGGCTCCACTTATCATCAACCAAATTGGGAAATGGTCACAATCCATGGTATTACACCAAACAAACAGAACAGACATGCTTCTTTGAAAGAAGATGCCTTGCTGCCCTCTGGTCCTGGTTTGTAGTCAGAATTGTAGTCTTGGCCCAGCCGCTATGGACTCCCACACAGCCTTCAACCTCCAAGAAAAGAGAGAGTTGTCGCTTTTCTTCCCAAACCACAATAATTTCAGTGCTGGCTTTATTCCAACGCTTTGACAGTCAGGGTGTTCCAAGATTTTTGCAGTCCTCAAAACTCATTTCAGAAAGCCCCATCAGGAGATATCCTGGCAGGAAGTCTGGTCTAGGCATCAAAATATTGCCATGCAACTCAAGTTTTATTGCCATTGTTCCTATAACAGGAAATTTTTATATGTTTATCCTGTATCCTATCAGGGTGGAAATGTTGAAAGTATGTTTGGCAGAATCATATCAACAGCTTTTAATGGTGTGCTCAAAATAAGTGTTGGCCCAGTGTCAAATCTCTCTGGCCCTACTTCTACCCACCCAGGTACCTCTCACAAATGATCTGAATTCATTATGAAAGATTGAGAGAGAAAACAAACGCAAAATAAATAAATAGTACCCAGGAGTATTTTTGCTTTGTTTTCCATAAGGGAGATTTTGATTTTATTTTGGTTTGGTGGAATCCAACAAATACGGTTCTGAGTTATTTGTTCATGAAAAGAGCTGGGTATTCACAGTCAACGTGCAATGTGCTCCTCTCCGCCTTTTCTGAGCTTTCCATTTGAAGATGGATTCTAAGGGGTGATGTTGACTGTGGATATTTCTCTTGGGTCTTTAATCCAGGTGTGTGATACATTTGCTGGTCTCGATTCTTAGAAATTGCGTGTTATTCATTTAATATTTAGTTCTCAGTATCTTTCTGTTGTAAAGAGTAAGTGGCTCGACGAACTTGCTGTGCTTAAAACAGTTCACACACGGAGTCTGGGATAAGTATTTGATTTTGTCGTTAGTACCAATCAGGTTTGTTGTAGATTCACTACTCCTCCTTCGTTTGTGCTCATGTTCTTAAGTGGCCCTCACCTTAAACTCTTTAAACTTTTGTGCATACTCAGGCCAGTTGTGAAGATTCTCTAATTATGTATTCGCAGATGAGAATAATTTGGGTGTTTCTTTCCTGGGAGGTATTGGCATTGAAAAGCATTCCATGTCAGAACTGCTTAAGTCCTAATATTATAGATCCATCCACTCCATCTATTCTAAAGACTGGATTTGTTTCACGCATAAAAGGATTTGACTGCTTGGACCAGTA